AGATGTGTTGTGGCCTGCATCGTAGTACGTTGTGTGCTTGAGTTAGTACGTTGTGTGTTTGTAAATGTATTTTTGGCGGTGTTGGCCTACGTTGTGTGTTTGAGTTAGTACGTTGCGTGTTTGTGCTAACACGTGTGTTTGTGCTAGTACGTTGTGTGTTTGTAATTGTATTTTTGGCGGCGTTTGCCTTCCATAAATTAGGTTATTATCTACAAAATTATAAACATTGTTACGGCCTTTGTTTGCACTCACGCGTACATTGTATATGCACCAACATAAAAACTCACACGAAATGAAATATGTTTCACTTGACGTAAATGCACAAGTATATAAACCTACGAAATCATGTTTGTCCTACCTGACCCGGTATATGTACTGAGTGCTCAGTACATTCTTAAATACTTGCAAACAATGCAAAAACAATTTCGCAAGTAATTCTATTCGGGGTTTTTAATTTATTTGGGAATGTACTGAGCGCGCGTACTGAGCATTCAATATTATACCACGTCAGGTAGGGCAAACATATTTTCGTATCATTTCCTGACGCAAATGCCATCGGAGTATATAAACCTACTCACCAAAATAAGAATGTAATACAACACTACTAACAATAGTACGGCAGTACTCGTATAAATATACATCATAGTGTGTGTCTATATAGTAGGCCTAATAAAAATAGTAATTATTATTACTATAATTATAATGTAGTTGATCTTTTGTGTATCCGAATAAATAAGTATTATTGTGTTTTTAAGTTACATTCCACTTCACGGATAATATATTCGAAATCAGAAAGAAACACACAGTACTGTAAAAAACAGATCACAGTAACATGGTAACATTATAATCAATTGTAAAAATTAGCACACATTGTTTGTATTTTTTTAAGTTAGATTGATGCATTAGAAAACAAGTCCTATTACCTTATATAAGCAATGTTGATACTGATAATATTGGTCGTCATCATCATCATTATCGTCATCATTTGTATTATTTAATTATTGTCATTGTCATGATAATTATTAGATTTATATTACTGTGCTTATAATTACTGTATTTTACTGCATACGTCAAGAAGGCCTAAATACATTTCGTAGGCCTACAACTTATAAGTATTTATATTTTGGTATGCGTGACTGAGATACATTCCTAAAAAAATACGTCCTAGACCTAACTGTATACAGTATTTTTTTGTAATTATAGCCTAATCATTATTCATTTCAAAAATAGGCCTATGTATTTCAGAATTATAATAAGAG